CCTAAAAAAATCCTAAAAATCCTAAAAAATCCCCAAAAATCCTAAAAAAATAAAAAAAAAAAAAAAAAAAATCAAAAAAACCCCTAAAAAAATCCCAAAAAATCCCAAAAAATCCCCAAAAAATCCTAAAAGTCCCCAAAATGCCCCAAACCTCTCACATTTGCTCCTAAAAAAATCCTAAAAATCCTAAAAAAATCATAAAAAATAAAAAAAAAATCATCAAAAATCCTAAAAAAACCCTAAAAAAATCAAAAAAAATCCAAAAAAAACCCACAAAAATCCCCAAAAATCCCCAAAAAATCCAAAAAATCCCCAAAAGTCCCCAAAATGCCCCAAACCTCTCACATTTGCTCCTGAAAGAATCATAAAAAATAAAAAAAACCCTAAAAAATAAAAAAAATAAAAAAACCCTAAAAAAATCCAAAAAAATCCAAAAAAAATCCAAAAAAATTAAAAAAAAATAAAAAAAAATCCTAAAAAATCCCCAAAATCCCCAAAAGTCCCCAAAATGCCCCAAACCTCTCACATTTGCTCCTAAAAAAATCCTAAAAATCCTAAAAAAATCATAAAAAATAAAAAAAAAATCATCAAAAATCCTAAAAAAACCCTAAAAAAATCAAAAAAAATCCAAAAAAAACCCACAAAAATCCCCAAAAATCCCCAAAAAATCCAAAAAATCCCCAAAAGTCCCCAAAATGCCCCAAACCTCTCACATTTGCTCCTGAAAGAATCATAAAAAATAAAAAAAACCCTAAAAAATAAAAAAAATAAAAAAACCCTAAAAAAATCCAAAAAAATCCAAAAAAAATCCAAAAAAATTAAAAAAAAATAAAAAAAAATCCTAAAAAATCCCCAAAATCCCCAAAAGTCCCCAAAATGCCCCAAACCTCTCACATTTGCTCCTAAAAAAATCATAAAAAATCAAAAAAAAAACCCTAAAAATAAAAAAAAAATCCAAAAAAACCCCTAAAAAATTCCAAAAAAAATCCCAAAAAATCCCAAAAAAATTCCAAAAAAATCCCAAAAAATCCAAAAAATCCCCAAAAGTCCCCAAAATGCCCCAAAGCTCTCCCATTTGGTCCAAAAAAATCCTAAAAGTCCTAAAAACATCATAAAAAATACTAAAAAAATCATAAAAAATAAAAAAAACCCTAAAAAAATCCAAAAAAAAACCCAAATCCCAAAAAATCCCAAAAAATCCTAAAAGTCCCCAAAAGTCTCCAAAATGCCCCAAAACCTCTCCCATTTGCTCCTAAAAAAATCCTAAAAATCCTAAAAAAATCATCAAAAATCAAAAAAACCCCTAAAAAAATCCAAAAAACCCTAAAAAATCCCTAAAAAAATCCAAAAAAAATCCAAAAAAAATCCAAAAAAAATCCCAAAAAATCCCAAAAAATCCTAAAAGTCCCCAAAAGTCCCCAAAAGTCCCCAAAATGCCCCAAACCTCTCACATTTGCTCCTGAAAGAATCATAAAAAATAAAAAAAAAACCCTAAAAAATAAAAAAAATAAAAAAAAACCCTAAAAAAATCCTTTAAAAAATCCAAAAAAAATCCAAAAAAAATCCAAAAAAAATCCCAAAAAATCCCAAAAATTCCCCAAAATCCCCAAAATGCCCCAAAAGCTCTCACATTTGCTCCTAAAAATATCCTAAAAATCCTAATCATAAAAAATCAAAAAAACTTCCTAAAAAAATCAAAAAAATTCCAAAAAAAATCCCCAAAAAATCCCAAAAAATAAAAAAAAAATCCAAAAAAATTCCCAAAAAATCCAAAAAATCCCCAAAAATCCCCAAAATGCCCCAAACCTCTCCCATTTGCTCCTAAAAAAATCCTAAAAATCCAAAAAAAATCATAAAAAATCCTAAAGAAATAACAAATCCCAAAAAAATCCTAAAAAAACCCAAAAAAAATCCTAAAAAATCCCAAAAAAATCCCAAAAAAATCCCAAAAAATCCCAAAAAATCCCCAAAGTCCCCAAAATGCCTCAAACCTCTCACATTTGCTCCTGAAAGAATCATAAAAAATAAAAAAAACCCTAAAAAAATCCAAAAAACCCCTAAAAAAATCCCAAAAAATCCTAAAGAAATCCAAAAAAAATAAAAAAAATTCCCAAAAAATTCCCCAAAATCTCCAAAAGTCCCCAAAATGCCCCAAAGCTCTCACATTTGCTCTTGAAAGAATCATAAAAAATAAAAAAAAACCCTAAAAAAATAAAAAAAAAAACCCAAAAAATCCCAAAAAAATCCCAAAAATCCCAAAAAATCCCAAAAAATTCCCAAAAATCCCAAAAGTCCCCAAAATGCCCCAAACCTCTCCCTTTTCCTCCTAAAAAAATCCTAAAAATCCTAAAAAATCCCCAAAAATCCTAAAAAAATCCAAAAAAAAAAAAAAAATCAAAAAAAACCCTAAAAAAATCCCAAAAAATCCCAAAAAATCCCCAAAAAATCCTAAAAGTCCCCAAAAGTCCCCAAAATGCCCCAAAACCTCTCACATTTGCTCCTAAAAAAATCCTAAAAATAAAAAAAAAATCATAAAAAATAAAAAAAAAATCATCAAAAATCCTAAAAAAACCCTAAAAAAATCAAAAAAAATCCCAAAAAAATCCCACAAAAATCCCAAAAAATCCCCAAAAAATCCTAAAAGTCCCCAAAAGTCCCCAAAATGCCCCAAAACTCTCCCATTTGCTCCTAAAAAAATCATAAAAAAATCATAAAAAATCCAAAAAATCCTAAAAATATAAAAAAAAATCCAAAAAAATCAAAAAAAATCCCAAAAAAATCCCAAAAAAATCCCAAAAAAATCCCAAAAAATCCCCAAAAGTCCCCAAAAGTCCCCAAAATGCCTCAAACCTCTCACATTTGGTCCAAAAAAATCCTAAATGTCCTAAAAACATCATAAAAAATACTAAAAAAATCATAAAAAATAAAAAAAAAACCTAAAAAAATCCAAAAAAACCCCCAAAAAATCCCCAAAAAATCCCCAAAAAATCCCAAAAAATCCCAAAAAATCCCCAAAATCCCCCAAAAGTCCCCAAAAGCTCTCACATTTGCTCCCTCATTTTCTTGAAGTCGTCGAAGAGCTGCAGGGCGGTGCTGAGCCCCTCGGCGATCAGGCTGCAGCTCTCGCCGCCCCCTCCCACGAACCTGGGGGGAGAAATTTGGGGAGGGGGCTTCAAACCCCTCCCCCACAGCTGCCCCAACCCCCTTTTTTTTAAATTTTTTATTATTTTTTTACCCCTCTCAAAAATCTGGTTTGGTTGGGAAATTGGGGATTTTGGGGTTTCTGGGTTTATTCTCATTTCATCAAATTTATTCCAAATTATGGCTCAAAACCTCAAAAATCTTCATCTAAAACATCAAATTTCTACTTTAAAACCACAAATTTCCCTTTAAAATCCCAAA